AGCAACCTACCAGATACAAAGTTCAAAACAATGGTTATAAGAATGCTCAAGGAACTTAGTAAGAACTTCAACAAAGAGATAGCAAGCATAAAAAAAGGACATAGAAACCACAAAAAGAACCAGTCAGAAGTGAAGAATACAATAACTAAGGTGAAGAAGGTACTTGAAGGAATCACCAGCAGACTAGATGAAGCAGAGGATCGAATCAGCGATTTGGAAGATAAGGTAGCAGAAAATACGCAATCAGAACAGCAAAAAGAAAAAAGAATAAAAAGAAATATGAGGATAGTTTAAGAGACCCCTGGGACAACATCAAGCGTAACAACATTCACATCATAGGGGTACCAGGAGGAAAAGAGAGAACCTATTTGAAGAAATAATGACTGAAAACTTTCTTAACCTGGTGAAAACAATAGACATACAAGCCCAGGAGGCACAGAGAATCCCAAACAAGATGAACCCAAACAGGCCTACACCAAGACACATTATAATTAAAATGGCAAAGGTTAAAGACAAAGAGAGAATCCTAAGCGCAGCAAGAGAAAAGCACCTAGTTACCTACAAGGGAGCTCCCATAGATTGTCAGCTGACTTCTCAACAGAAACTTTGCAGGTCAGAAGGGATTGACCTAAAATATTCAAAGTGATGAAAAGTAAGGACCTACAACCAAGATTACTCAACACAGCAAGTCTATCATTTTAAATTGAAGGACAGATAAAGAGCTTCCCAGACAAAACAAAAGCTAAAGGAGTTCATCACCACCAGAATAGCATTGCAAGGAATGTTAGAGGGAATTCTTTAAGATGGGGGGAATAAATATCAAAAATATGAATAATAAAATGGCAATAACTACATATCTACCAACAATTATTTTCAATGTAAATGGATTAAATGCTCCAATCAAAAACACAGTGTGGCTAAATAGATAAGGAAACAAAACCCTTACATATGCTGCCTACAAGAGAATGACTTCAGATTGAAAGTCACACACAGTCTGAAAGTAAAGAGATAGAAAAAGTTATTTCATGAAAATTAAAAACAAAAAAGAGCAGGAGTAGCAATACTTACATTAAACAAAATAGACATTAAAACAAAAGCTATAACAAGAGACAAAGAAGAACCCAGTAATCTCAATTCTGGGTATTTATCTGAAGAAACCCAAAAATGCTACTTTGAAGGGATGTGTGCATCCATATGTTCATTGCAGCATTGTTTAAATGGCCAAGATGTGGAGGCAGCCTGGGTGTCTGTCGATGGATGAATGTGTAAATAGGAGGTAGTACATATATAAAATGGAATATTGCTTGGCCATGGAAGGGAATTGGTTCTTGCCATCTGCGGCAGCATGGATGGATCTGTAGGGTATTGTGCTGAGTGGATTATGTCAGACAGAGAAAGGCAGAAGCAATGTGATTTCACTAATCTGTGGAATATAAAGAACAAAATTAACAAACAAAACTGAAACAAACTCATAGATACAGAAAACATTTTGATGGTTGCCAGATGGGAGGGAAGTTGGGAGAGTGGAAGAAAAAGGGGAAGGGATTAAAAAGTACAAATTAGTTATTACGAAGTACTTATGGGGGTGTAGGGTATATAGCATAAGATAGCACAAGAAATATAGTCAATAATATTGTAATAAATATGTATGGTGTCAGATGGGTACTTGGTTTCTTGGGGTGATAGATGGAAGGGTGAAAAACGTGAAAGAATTAAGAAGTACAAATAGTAGTTACAAAATAATAATGGGGATGTAAAGTAAAGCACAGAGAATATAGTCAATAATATGGTAATAACTATGTATAGAGCCAGGTGGGTACTAGACTAGTCAGGAGGATCACTTCTTAAATTATATAAATGTCTAACCATATGCTGTATACCTGAAATAATATAAAATAATATATTTTTAAAAGATTTTATTGGGGGATTGGGGGAGGGGAACAGCGCTGGGGAATCAGGGGAAGGGGAACAGAGAAGTTGCTGTCCTTTTGTTCTTCAGTCTAGTTGTGGAGGACGTTGCTTCACTG